TTTATTTTATTTTATTTTATTTTTTTTATTCATTTCAAACGGGCCGGATCCGGCCCACGGACCGTAGTTTGCCCACGGCTGCTCTAGTAGCTCCTCTGACCATTACTACTCACTCAATCCTTGGATCCAATATGGGTTCACTTCTTCTGCCTTTTTACTCTGTTCTTATAATGTGCCAACTTCTTAAGAAGTCTCTAAAGAGAGAAGCTCCAGCCCTAGCCAGTTTTCCTGAGCGGTTAGAGCGTTGTCCTGTGGACTGAAGGGTCACAGGTTCAATTCTGGTCAAGGGCACGAACCTCAGTTGCAGGCTCGATCCCCAGCCCCAGTTGGGATGCGTGCAGGAGGCAACCAATCAATGTGTCTCTCTCACATCACTTTTTCTTTCTCCCTGTCTCTCCCCCTTCCTTCCACTCTCTCTCAAAATCAATGGGGGAAAATCCTCAGATGAGGATTAACAACAACAAAGAGAGAGAGAAGCTCCAAAATGCTGGAATTTAAGTACTGTGTCATCTAAATCCCCACAGCATATTTCTGTGACTACGACACTTAAGTTTCTACCCTGGATTGCACCCCGTATTATAGCATCCTTGTGTATGTCTAATCTTTGACTGTAAATGGAGGGTAAAGGCTTTGTTTGATTCATTTGTTAATTTTTCAAAGCACCTAGCACAGTGCCTTACATAGATTAGATATCTAATAAGTCTTGGTTGAGTAAAAACATGAAATGCTTCTGTGGAAAGATAAATAAGGAACAACACTGATAACTTTTAAGATCTATGGTCTCAGAAATTCATCTTTTTCAAGTTTTCAGCAGTATTTGTTGCACTTTGGCTTATTTTCCTGTGTACTTCAGGGCCTCTATCTTAGCCTGCATTACCTCATAAGACATCATACTTGCACTTTCTCCTCTTTTGGGACTTTCTGAGTCCAATGCCCCAGTATTAATTTTCTCCTTCCTGTCACCAATAGAAAGGCCATAATGATGTTACCCATTTATTAACATGTCAGTTTTCCTTTCAGAGGTAGGCCCAGTGGAATATGGTGGAAGGGTGGAAGGCAGTACAGAATAATGTATGCAGCAAGGAATCTGTGGTCAGAGAGTATCTAGCCAAACCCAGTCCTTCCACTTCAGGAAATATTCTCCCTTTTATAAAACCTTAATTAAATACGAACCTATGGAGTATCTAGAATAGAGTAGCCAGCTCACAGGAAGCATCAATAAATGAAAATTATTATTACAGGATTGTAATATTATTACTATAATTACCTATTACTCAGTGTACATATCATGCTACTTTAAATATAACAGCCACAATTAACATCTGCATTTTTAGAAAGATGCCAATAAGAAAGAAATCAGCAATTTGTTGTTTATAATAGCTTGAACATCGTTTTCATAAACAGATGACCAGCCACATCAAAATGCTTCTTCTTGCCCTAACTGGTTTGGCTCAGGGGATAGAGCGTCGGCCTGAAAACTGAAGGGTCCCAGGTTTGATTCCGGTCAAGAGCATGTACCTTAGTTGGGGGCACATCCCCAGTAGGGGTTGTGCAGGAGGCAGCTGATCGATGTTTCTCTCATCGGTGTTTCTAACTCTCTATCCCTCTCCCTTCCTCTCTGTAAAAAAATCAATAAAAAAAAATTTTTTTAAATGCTTCTTACCTCGCTGCCCTGCATGGTCTTTGCTGGGTTAGCAGAAGGGATGGCAGCATTCAGCTCAGGCTCTGGCTTACACAAAAGTGCAATGGAGTCACGGTGCGACAGATACCGTTCTTTCACTTTCCCATCCGCTTGCAAAGCTTTATCCAAAACTGCTCTGAAGTTGGCCCCCTCTGTGGGAAAAAGAATGTTATCATAATGATTTCAATAGTAATGTTTATGGGTTGGTTGTACTTATAGTTCTGTTCTCCTTCTACAGGCCCCAATTCTTTGTACTTAAATTTCAGCATTTTGGAGCTTCTCTCTTAGGATTATTACTTTTTCGCCCTTTTACAGGCGCCGATTCACTCAATAATAAAAACTCAGTTCCTGTCGAGTGTTAGCATTTTTTTGAAAAACCAACTATAAAGCAAAAGCATAGTTATACCTTAAAACACATTTGTGATCACTGTCCACCAAATAAAAAGCTATTTGACTAATCTTTTCCCACAACTCATGAATATAGAAAGAAATCATTCATCCCCAAAATTGTTACAACTTATTTAAAAAATATTCTCTTTCAAAGGATCACTGCTTCAACTTGACTTACATAATAGCAGATATATTTTTAGAGAAATCTCAATAGCAGTAATTCATTTTACAGAGATAAATAAAACAATTCTCTAGCTACCATGAAGACATCCTTTATCTTAACAATAAGTTTTCAAAATAACTAAAGTTTTCAAAATAATAACTTGGTTTCAAATTAACTGTTAAAAAATCACCTTTTACCATCCAGGATTCAAGTAAAGTGAAATTATAAAATAATACATAAAATATTATCTCATTTATGTTAATAAAATATGCACATGGCTGGAATAGAAAAGGTTATAGGAACATTTTAATTTTCATTTTATACCCTTATCAAGAATCTGAACTTCTAATAATGAATATGGATTATCTTTGTTATATTTTTTATCACTGAACTGAAGAAAAACACCTGGGCTATAATAGCAACAGTTGCAGTAAAAACAGGCTTACAATTGAACCTAATTTAATCAAGCAAAAATGTGGATCCAAATTGAGACGTTATTAATTTGAAGGTCATTAATGCACATTTTTACCTGCTCTTAAAGGCTTATAGAGTTCATTGGATGCTGTCCTTTGCCAGCGTTCCTTGAATTTTGCTCTTAAATCATTGTCAGTTGCTTCTTCTTCATCCAACAATCTTAATGACTTTTAAAAAGAAAGCAAAGCAACAATGCATGTCATTTCTGGTGTAAAAAGTTAAATATTTTTAAATGATCATACTCCAAGTACATGAAAATTAGTGAAATGGGACTACTCTTACATTACTGGTTAGAATATAAATTGGCACAACAATCTTTGTTGCAGAAATTAATGTTACAATGTATTTAACTAAAAAATCTTGTAAAAGGGCTAGGTGAGCCATTACTTTACTCAGTAAAATCAAAAAGGAAGAATAAGTAAGAGTTTATGTACATCCATATACCAAGACTACTTTAAACAAAGACTGTTTTTAAGATAAAAATAAATAGAAAGTTTTTGGACCTTAGAAGCCATAAAGTTAACAGTTAAGCCATAACCGTTGTTATGGCATAAACAAAACAAAGAGAAAATTGATTACCTATAGGAAATAAGATTTAGACTTCTATGCCAATACCACACACTGAATAGTAACATATAAAAAAGGCCTTTTTAATGCATAACTGAGAAGACAAGATAGAAACATAAGAAAATACTAATTTACCAGTGGAAACAAGTGTTAGAGCCAATGGTATCTGCTAATCCCTGACAGCTTAGAGCAGAGGTCTGCAAACTCTTCTGTCAAACACTACAGTATTTTAGGCTTTGGGGGCCACAGTCTCTGTCCCATATTCTTTTTTCCTTTTTTTGCAACCTTCTTAAAATGGTAAAAATCATCCCTCATCAGTGAACCATACAAAACATACCACAAGCCAGAATTAGCCACTATCCTTAGTTTGCCAATTACGTAGTTGACTACTGGCTTAGAGTGTGAATTTAACAGAACACGAGTAGACACAAGAAACATCAGTAGGCACAAGAAACACCAGCATGGCTCAGTGGTTGAGCATCAACTTATGAACCAGGAGGTCAGGGTCCAATTCCCAGTCAGAGCATATGCCCAAGGTGTGAGCTTGATCCCCAGTCTGGAGCATGCAGGAGACAGCTGGTCAATCTCTCTCATCAGTGATACTTCTCTCTCTCTCCCTCTCCCTTTCCTTGTTCAATATCAGTTATATCATATCACTTATATTATCATCACCATAGTAATATAATAGTAATAGTAGAAATAGCTATAATTTAGTAAGCACATATATACTGTGTGTCCCTAGGCTAGGCATTTCACTGTTTTAGTTTAGTTCATCTTTTAAATAAGCCTAGGAAGTCAATATTCTCATCCCCAAGGTTCACACCATCATAAATACCTAAGTACTTTGGCCCTGCCCCAAAGAACTTGGAAATGATGAAAATACAGTATCCCCTGAAAGTTAACTGAAAAATCAGAACATCAGGGATGAAAGCATTGATAACAAAAGTCATGTAAGAGAGATGTGACTCCTAAACTAGCAAAAGCCAATATAACCAGCTTGAATATAATTTTAGCTGAAGAAAGAAATATATCAATTAGAGTAAAGAGTTAAAGGCACAATAAAGGGAGAATAACATTAGCAAACTGTTGTCTTTAGCCAAAAAACTTTAGTGCTCCATTCCTATCGATAAAAGCCTTCTCTACTGGAAAATGGGTACAGTGGACTTATAAAACATTTAATGGCCTAACTTCCTTTGTTTGACTCCATGTTCACTAAGAAACCCAATCTATATATATAAAAGGCTAATATGCAAAGTGTCCCCACGGGAGTTCAACCGGGAGACCAGGAGTTCTATTGCTCGCTATGATGTGCGCTGACCACCAGGGGATGGTGCAGAACGAAGGGAGGCCCTAGCCGGCAGCCAGGCCTAGGAACCCTACCCATGCATGAATTTCGTGCACCGGACCTCTAGTCTTTAATATTAAAAAATCATTAATTATGAAGACTTTGAACAATTTATGTGACAGTAACTTCTCATAGTATACTAACATTACACAATGGTCATATGTTTCAATAATGTCCATTTACATACCCTTACAGACATGAATCAACCTATTCTCACTCAATTGAAATTCTTTTTGAGGCTGAAGGTCAAGCTCTGGCCCACATTAAATTCACCACGATGATGAGCACCTCCCTGTGAAACCATACAGGAGAAAGCCTCCAGTACTAATCCTTGCTGGACACCAAGGAATCAAACTATTTATTTGAAAGGCAAATCTCAAAACATACCTCATCTAGGATTTCTCTATTTCTTTGTAGTAGTTCAGGTAGCTCTTTGATCAACTGATCTACAGTCTGGATGCCTCCCTGTTCAATCACAGACGTGGACTTTGTCAATATAGACTGAGGTACAGTATCTCCAGATACATCTTCAATTGCTGCTGGAAGATTAAGAGATGCTAACACCCTGAAAAAATGAAATACTATGTTACATAGAGGTCTAAACCACCTTAAAACATTAATCTCCTATATCCAAGTCAACAGCAATGGAGTTACCATACCAAAAGTAGATAAGCCTTATCAACAGAAAAATAAAGGAAAAGGAAAAAAATAGGTGATTGAGAAAATTAAAACAAAATCATTAAATTATTTAAATTCACAGAAATTAAAAGCCAAAAAGAAAGAAATATACATTAAAATATACTAAATACCTTTGGCTAACAGTTCTAACTTAGCTTCTTTCAGTCTAAGTAATTATAAGTCAAAAAGTCTATCTTAAAAACTATAATCTTTTTATTATACTCCTGATTGTTATACTGTCACTGACAAATCAGAATACATAAGTTATAATTTCATTATCACCTATGTAAAGAGAACATAGTTGATCTAAGTATTAATTATAGAATCTTCATTTGTTCTCAGTTTGTAGCACAGTAACAATTACTCTGTTATTTCATTTATATAATAAAGGGAATGTTAAACTTATGTTTAAAAGAAAAATGAGGTCAAAATCTATACATTCATCAAAATTAAAAACATGAAAAAGCAAACCAAACTAGGAGAAAATATTCTCAATTACATACATCTGACAAAGGACTTGCCTCTAAAATATGTAGAGTTCATCAAAGATTAGTAAGAAGAAAAAAACTCAGTCTTAAAAATTAGCAAAAGATGTCAATGGACACTTCACGAAAGATATATAAATGGCTAATAAACACATAAAAAGTTGCTCAACATCTTTATTAATCAGGAGAATGCAAATTAAATCACAAGATACTGGTACACAAAGTAATATTAAAAATATTCTATTAAAAAAAAAAAGACTGACAATACCAAGTGCTGATGAGGATACAGAGCAACTACATTTCTCAAACAGTGCAGGTGGGAATATAAACTGGAACAACCACTTTGGAAAACAATCGATCCATTTCATATGAAGTTAAACATACACTAACCATACAACTAATCTATTGTAATCCTAGTTATTCACCCAAGAGAAATAAAAGATGTCAACACAAAGATCTGTACATGAATGTTCACCGCATCAACAATCTGAAATGTTCATCAACAGGTGAAAGAATAAACAGACTGACATTTGACCATAAAATGAAATACTGTTCAGAAATAAAAAGGATCAAAGTGATAACCACAACATATATGAATCTCAAAAACATTATGCTAAGTGCAAGACACCCAACACACATTTTGAGTATATACTATAGGTCAATGATGGCGAACCTTTTGAGCTCGGCATGTCAGCATTTTGAAAAACCCTAACTTAACTCTGGTGCCGTGTCACATATAGAAATTTTTTGATATTTGCAACCATAGTAAAACAAAGATTTATATTTTTGATATTTATTTTACATATTTAAATGCCATTTAACAAAGAAAAATCAACCCAAAAAATGAGTTCACGTGTCACCTCTGACACACGTGTCATAGGTTCGCCATCACTGCTATAAGTGCTTATCTATACCGTAGGTATTACATACATAACAATATTGTGCTATACTATCCTATCTAATAAAAGACAAAAAGGGTAATTAACCGTACCTCCGCTACACTTCCCATTGGTTAATCAGGGCAATATGCAAATTAACTGCCAACAAAGATGGCAGCCAGCAGCCATGCAGCCGAAGCGAACATGAGGCTTGCTTGCTCCAGTGATGGAGGAAGCCAAGGTTCCCCACCTGCCGCGGCCCGGCTCTGAGCCCGAAAGCAACAATGTTTCAATTATAGAAGCTAAACAAACCCCAGATACCTGCTTTCAGCCGGCCGGCCACAGCCTCAGAGCTGGGAGCACCAGTGACGGCAACAATGTTTCAATTATAGAAGGTAAATAAATCCCAGAATTTAAAAAAAAAAAAAGAAAAAAAGGAGAGGCTGGGAGCTTCAGTCGCTGGCCAGCCTGAAAACGACCCTCAGCCCCTCACCCAGACTGGCCAGGCACCCCAGTGGGGACCCCCACCCTGAAGGGGGTGTGACCAGCCTGAAAACAGCCATCAGCCCCTCACCCAG